TGTATCACACAAGCTGAGCACAGTGTTGAAATACAATGGAAAACGTAAATACATAAAGCCTTGATTGAGTACAAGCTCCAAGTTGGCAAATAAAGCTGGTACGGCACCAGCAGTAGAATATTAACTACAATCCCACATTCACCATCACCGTCGCGTCGACAACAACAACAAAAAAAAAAAGAAATAAAAAAGATCTTTGTTTACTATACACCTGCCACCGCCGTTAACTTGTAAAAGACAGCCATCTGCTAAAGGACATTTGTATATGTCTTCATTTAATTAAGTTGAATGCCACTTAGGCCCGTTCACGCAACATGACAGAGGATGAATCGACCTTGATCAGACTCGGTGGAGGCATGTAAAAGCAAGGTGTCTTCTTCGCAAAATGTCAGCTTTGCAAAAAAGGCTTACTACAACTAGACTACATCCCACCAATATGCATCTCATGCACGTTGAACTTATCCAAACTTGTACAATGTCATGCATTTTGTCTACCTGACAAATGTGAGAAAATGAACATATAAGCAAGACGTGATTGGACATGTTTGATCCATGACCGTGTGACAATGAGGTGAACTCCCAGTGCAGTTGAGTTTATTTGTCTTTCCGAGGTTGACGTGGGGCCAACGGTACAATGAAATGGGGCAAACGAGAAAAACTGGTTTGCGTGGCAAAATGTGCAGTTCCTATATGTAAAATACACAATTAATATTTGTATAAAAGATAAAGTGAACAAATTTGAAAATTACAAGCAATGAGTCATTTCAGTAGAGTTGAAAAGTGTGACTCACTATAAAGGTTCATACATTTCGATTAGCCTGAGTGTGAATTTAAGAGAAAACTGACTGTGAAACAAAACCCTTTGGTGGACTTCCTAAAACTATTGTGACGTCCTGGTACATGTATATCGATCCATGATCGGAACCGCTTTATCCATGTGAGAGTTCCGGCGCGCGTGCTGGAGGCTATCGGGCAGTAGGTGGAGCTCACTCTGGAGTGGTCGCCAGCCAATCGCAGGGACCCACATAGCCAAACAACCATTCACTCTTTTTTTTTTATTTATTACATCTTTTTTCCCTGAGTTGTTTAGGTTGGAATGGTAATGACAGAGGCCTGCTCTGAGGATAAAGTCATGTACTGAAAAAAGAAAAAAACCCAAAGCATTTCAAAATTATTACCTGCCATTCAAGTATAAAAACAAGACGTATTGTCAGTCTTCATGTTGACGGGGTTAATTGGAGCATTAGGATAATAGAAAGAACGATTCACCCTTGTTTTAATTGTCTTAACAGCAGGGATGGCGAGTTTATTAGTTTAGCCCCGCCAGCATTTTACTTGATATTCTAAAATATATTTTTAAATTAGTTTCTCAGCTCCACTTTGTATTGGTCAAGCCCTCTTTAGTGCAGTAAGAGGAAAAAAAAATTGTTGAGAGGCAGACATAGCAACAAACATGAGACCCGGACGCCCTCCTTTACGGAACAATGGCTATTATGACAGTAGATCAATAGTTTGAAATAATTTTTACATTTGCATTTTTTGTCCCATTTTAGGAACAACATGGCAATTATTTAATATAGGAATATAGAAATATAAGAAATTAAATATATATAAGCAAGACGTGATTGGAGATATATATATATATATATATATATATATATATATATATATATATATAAAAACACAATATATATAACACACATACACAGAGATAGAGAGATAAAAACATATTTGGGATTTAATTAGAATACATTATGACATACCACAGCTCGGCTGGAAGAAAGATTCCATAGCTGGACATTTTTAACTTTTAATTGGGGACCCCTGCTCTATTTTTATTCCACATTAAATAAATATGATGACTGTATATATGCTGCTGGTGTTTTTTTTTTTTTTTTTTTTTTTTTGACAAGCCAACTACTCTAACCGCACGGAGAGAATATATTACAAAGCCATAAAAAAGGTTACAACACAGTAATCATATCCACGCGGTTCATAATCGGTATTATGTCACTCTGACATAAATTTAGCTTTACCTTATGTTAAAAACAATCAAAGATGTGCGCTTTTGTTGGGATGATACAAAGCAAACAGCGTGTCTTTTCTAACCTTGCTCTGACCTGTGATTAGCTTTTACTGTTTTACAATTAGCGCGACTGCTGAAGGCGTCAGCGGGGCAGAGGTGGGATAGCTACGCCCTTGAGAGTAGAACTTATGAATCAGCGGCCGGCAATAAATGGAGCGGATCATTACTGAATCAAGCGATCTGCAGAATAATCTATTGATTTTCTCGTCTTTCGTACTTCTTTATTATTCTGTATCACAGTATTGCAACATCAGGAGGAACCCACTGATGGATGGGATACCTCGGCTGGGACCGTGGGGGCAGGCGCTCTGCTGTTTTGCCCACACCCTCAAGGGTACTGGATGTGAAATGAGCTGTTGTTCAGAGATTTTCACCTCTGACAATCTTAACTACATAAAGAGCTGTCATATTTGAACTAATATATCGATGTTTTGTTTGTTGAAGTTGGTTCGAGGCTTCAGCAAGCACACCGTGCAACAACACAGATCAGGGCAGAGGGAGAATGACAAATGAAATAAGCACTTAAGTCTTTTAGAAATCCACATTTGTGGATGAATGAAGGTAGATAGATGCCTAAATTCAATTTTTATTACGTTTAAAAGAGTATTTGACTTTCCCTTTTTTGGTCCAACCAGCAGAAGTGCGTAAAAAAATTGTCTACACTCTTGTTTAATGTTTTATTTTGACACGTTTTTCTGACTATAACGGAGCTCAAAATCTGGAGGGTTTGTGTGCTCCCATCTCAGTTGCTATCGCAATCGATCCTTTTGATTCTTATTATGTACAACAGGATGTGTCACGGAACTGCTAATTGGCAATAATCGGTGTGTCAATAGATGGCGAGAGTGCAGAATTTAGATCAGGAAAAATTTCAAATACGACAATGTGACTCGCTTCAAGGAGCCTCATGCTCGGAATAATTTCCTGGAAAGTATTGATGTATGGTAGGCTGGAAGAAAGGTAAGGGAAATCCTCAACTGGAGGCGACATTTTTGTTTCACAGGTGGCAAGGTAAACGGGATGGTAGAAGCATTGAATGCCACAGATTTGACACACTCATTTCAAATGAGCATTCATTTATTCATTTTCCGAACCTGATGAAAAATTATGGCCTCATCCAGCATTTAAATTGCCCATTCCTGCCCTGTACTCTCATAGCACCCCTCACAAGACAAGGCGAAAAGCTTTCCACAAAGTAGATTGGTTGGGTGAACTTCCATGCACCCACTGTTCCAAAGCCAGACCTTCCTGTATCTGTACAGTACATCAAAAGTCGTAGAAGCACAAACAAACTAATGCTAAAAGATGATTATGCTACAAATGACGGGTGTGCACAAGAGAATTTTTGCAAAATTGTGTACGACCATGCGAACCATGAAACAAAATTATTAAATTAACGTCACTGGAAGATTCCGCAAAGCATTTCTGAACATTCGTCTCATGAGTAAACATATAAAGAAGTGTTGCCAATTGTCAACATAAGCTCATGTGTCATACAAGGTGGCCAGCCGATCATGCGCATAAAGAAAATCGAACACTGCTGCAAAAAAATAAACGGTGTGTTGTCTCAAGTTAGCCAAGCGCCGTTGCCAAAAATAACACACGTTACTTAGAGCAACTTGAGAGTTGATGCCAGTAAACAAACACGAACCATGTATTGCATAAGAAGATACCAAAGTTTTGCCAAATCTAACCATGTGTTCCATCAAGCTACCTAATAGTTAGGGCCAAAAACTAACCACATTGCGGTTACTCTTGCAGCCTAGACAGTTAATTACTTGTTATAAAAACAAGTGACTCAAAAGCCACTCCTTATAGCTCCCATTTGGTGACAAATTGCTGGCTGCACTGGCAAACAGAATGAGCATTCAGAGATTTGCACACCTCTCATCATGCCTGACCATACAAACCGAATTCGCAATCATTTTATTGCATCTCTTTTGTTCAACACCTTGTATACAATATTTCAAATACTTATACTGTAGGTAGTTCAGGGCAGTGTTTTTTTTTTTTTTTTTATCTTTGAGATAGATTCTGAAGTTCCAGTTGTTAAAATTTCAAACAATATATTGAGGGGTTATTTGGTCACCTTGCCATTGAACGTTAAACAAAGTTCAAGTGAAAAAGCGGCCTTTGCAGCTTCCACTCTTCTGCTAAGGCTTTCTTTCTCCAACAAGATGATGGAGCATGTTTGCAGGAATTGTAGCCTACTCATCCAAAAAATGTTTGTTACTTCAAAGAGTACTGAAACGGTTTACTCAATTCTCTCATCTTGTCAAGTCAAGTCAAATGGATTTATATAGCCCTAAATCGCATAAAAGTCGCAAAGGGCGTCTCATGTCCACAGTTGGCAAATATCGACATCTCGTGATCCTAACACCCAGGAGGGCACAGACAAACTCCCCAAACCCCATGTGGCGAAAAATGAACCTTGAAAAGGGGCCGCAGATCAGCTGATTGGCAACATTTAATACAATATGATACCATACAATGTTAGTTACAATAATGTCAGAATTAGTTCCTTTAGAAGGTTTTTGTTTATATATATATATATATATATATATATATACACACACACACACACACACACACACCTTTTTTTTTTTTTTTTTTTACTTAAAAGCAAGCTTCAGATATGCCGCTGCTCGAGTGCAGTGAAAAAAACCCTGTCACCATTGCACAATATGTGAGGTGTACGATTTAATCGGACTTTCTAAAAACAGTTAATTCCTCTATTTTCTCTTGTTTGTATGTTTTTATTATTCTATTATATTTGCATTTTAATATACAGTGCCTGGCATTGGTGGGCAACCAGTTAAGGGATTAGCGGCTCACATAATGGATGAATGTATTGTGCTATTTTTCTTTTGCAAACAACTTTTTCTGGGTCTGGAATGGATTCATGACATTTCAATTCATTCAATTGGGGAAAATGATTTGATACTCTTGGCGAGAAAATTGAGTTAGAATTTAGTGACAGAACAAACTGAACCATAGGAAACCAAAGTGCCACTATATATATTTTTTGCATTTGCAATTGTCATGCTCATCTTAGTTTTTCTTAATCATAATGTGCTCAGACATACACTTTGGAAAATATAAGCATTAGCAGTTATGCTTGAAAACATGACGCGAAATGCCATTTGTCAACATTTTTTTGTTTCCATCTTCGTTACTTCGACAGCGCAAAAGTGGGTCACGGCTCAGCGACAATGGAAAATGTCGACCCCAGCGTGGCAAGAGTTGAGAACCAACCCGGTCGTCCGAGTCAGGGAGAGTCCAGGCCACTTTTTCCAAGCCACACCTTTGAAGCGACAAATTCAATTAAGGACTCCTCTTCCCACTTTGAGTCGGTCTCCAGGGCACATCTTCCGAGCGACTCGCTTTCAAGGAAATTCGAAAATTCCACAATAAAACGTCAAAACAACCCCACTAATATTAACACTAGTAGTGATTATGCAAATAATAATAATAATATGACAACTCCGGAAAAGGCGCCACGCACCGTCGAGGCTCGAGGGTCTCTTGTAGTTTCAAGTGGCAGCAGGACGACAAAGTCCACACAGGTAAGAGTTTGGCTTTTCCTCCAACTCCTCTCTGCATGTTTTCACCTCTGAGTGGAAGTCCACGCTGAAGGCGACACGCGAGTGGGCACAGTTTGGAAAGGAGGGAAGGGGTGGGGAGGGCGGCTGTGTGGGACAACCACATCCAGACGCTTGACCGAGGGAAGCCGCTCGCTTAGCCGGCCAGCGGGACTTCCAGCGGCTTGGCGACAGCGGCGGCGACTGGAACCGCGTGTGGAGGCTGCTGTCTTGCCTTGCTTTTTTTTTTTCTTTTCACCCCAACACTCTTCCACCTCAAACTTACACGCTTTCATCCCAAACGAAAAACTTTCCAAGCTGTAACGGCGTCAAAAGACTCACACTCAAGCGAAGACGCTTATTGCAACTTGATTTGTTTTTGTTCGCTCTCTGCCACGTGAGTTTCAACTCAAAGGGGCTTTAGAAATGCAAGTTAACACAAGGGCATGAATATTGGATGTCTTGTTTTGTACTTTGGGTGCGACTTTTTTTTATGTTTTCTAATTATTATCCTTTTTTTATAAAAACTGAGTGAAACTCACCCTAAACAAGTAGTAGCCCTCATACAGTTGCATTTACTGTAAATAGAAGAACTTCTTTAGCCCACGTAAGTGCATTTAATATCGAGAGCTTGACAAACGTGGTAATTCTGTTTTTTTTTCTTCATGAAAACAATTTTTGTCGTTTAATGATTCACTTGTGCATAAGTGGGATCGTTGCATCATTTATTGCCAATTAGATCACGAGCAAACACTTCTGAGAAACAGAGTGTTTTTCATGAATGTTTACGCACCACAGCACACGCTGTATTTGAAATGCTTGATACGATTTTGCGCAAATTCCTGCTCCCAGTGCCTGACAGGCAGGTTTAATGACTTCCACCTCCTCAAGAACAAACAATCTGTTTAAAAACAGCGTACATAACTCCTGCCTGTTTGCTTAGTAGTGATCGCTACAAAACACCACCATGTGCGATTTAATTTCATACGCCTGTTTTGTAAAAAGGGTCACTATTTGCTCGAACCGGCATCTTGCCTGTGGTTATTGCTATTCTCAAGGATGAGGACAGGAATAGATGATTGGCACTTTAAACCCAGGTCTTTCATATTCTCGCCGGATCTTCCTCCTTTGCTAATTATTGTGTTGTTTTCAGAGCAAATATGTCATATCCATGGCGACCAGGCAGGTTTATTGTCTCTCTCATGCAATAGCTCACACAAGTAATTAATTATCCTTCCCCCTCTCTCTCTTTCCCCTCCTGTCTTTGGTTAAACAGATCATTCATGGAAAGCCATCATCTTTATTAAAATGCCACAGCTAGTACAACACAAGGTAAACAATGAACGTTTTTCAATTTTACTATTTCAATGTCCCTTTTTGTGCTTTCATTTTTTTTATACTGTTCCTAATGTGCGTACTTGAGTGATATTTCCCCATCACGCAGCAGCTGTGATGCATCCATTCATGCAGGCAGAGCGAGCACACACACACACACACACACACACACACACACACACACACACACACACACACACACACACTCTCACACAAACTTTAAACACTTTAAAACACATTTTTCGGCAAGAAATCATGTTGCATTTTGTGTGAATTGCGTGCAAGCATTCGCCCACTGACTTTGGTGGAGACTTTGATTTCATGAGGTCACCCACCGGCTGGAATGACCAGCAGCAGGTGACAGTGCCGAGTACAATATGCGTGTGGTGCTGTTGTGTGTTCGATGCACTTTTGCCGCCCCCCCCACCTGTAAAAAAAAGGTGATTAGTTGCTGAGTGCTCCATCGTGGAATGTGACGGCACATGTCTTTTGCTGCATGGACGTCTGTCTTGAGCTGGACACCTTCCAGCCTTCACTGTACGACAAGTGGCTCAGGTTCTCATCTCTCTTTAGCATTGATGTGACACAGCAATATCCATCTGTCAAACATACTGCCCCTTATTTTCCTTCCTGTCTTTTGACCGCTCCCTGCCTCCCTTTCCCTCATCCGTCGATGACCCGACTTAATCAGAGTACACCCATACTGATTTTGACCATCTGAACGGATTTTTAAAACGTGAGCGACCCCACACAGGATGATAAAACACTTTGCATGGGCGTGTTTACAGCTCCTATAGTGTGTGGTGTGCACGAAATGACCAACATGGCACACCACACACACATAGCGATGTCTCCATCGACAATGATGAGCTTCTTTAACCAAACCATATGTTTGTCGTCGTTTCAAGGCTGACCTGTGAGAGGCAGCATGGTGTCACAGAGCATCCAAGCGGCTGGAAAATACAACGAAGAAAGAGAAGTTGCTACAGTGGGTAGTAGTCGTCGAAACAGTAGTTGCAGTAAGAGAAGAAGAGAAATACATGAAGTTAGTTCGACTTTTAACTCATTTCATAACTACATTTTGTTTGCAAACTTCTCTCCTTGTCGTTTGTATTGTGGAGAAAGATTGAGGTGAAACCCTCAACGCGATCGCTTACTCCTCCATTCGCTTCTTCATGACTATTCTTTGTGTCACAATCACTGAGTCCCTGGCTCGGCTGAACTCAGTGATCACACATTCAGTAGCTGGAATTGTGATTCAAAAATATTGAACAGGTTTAACATTTTTGTTTGCCCAAACCATCTTCTGAGTCGATATGGGGGAGGGGGGGGGGTTAAAAAAAAACAACAACAATTTATCACACAAGATATCGCAGCATAATTGCTCTGGATAATCCACCAATTGGACTTTTGTTGACTTTGATCACAAGTGTTGAATATACTGACTTAATTTGGCCTGGCTGTTGGTGTGTATTTACAGAGCTCAGAGAGCAAAGATCCATATTCGCTATTTTTGCAGTTTTAATTTCATATCTATCTATCTATCTATCTATCTATCTATCTATCTATCTATCTATCTATCTATCTATCTATCTATCTATCTATCTATCTATCTATTTATCTATCTATCTATTTATTTATGCGTGTGTGGTGCTTTTGTTTTTCTGTCTATCTTAAATATATTAAAAAAAAGTCTGTAGTTGTGGACACTGTCATTGTTGTGGACACTCTCATTGCAATTGTTGTGCCACTCGCATACACATTTCCTGTCGCCCGATCAGTCAGTGAGATGCCTCATGTCTCATAAGCACCCATCTGCATCTGTCAAGGGTGTGTGCAGAATTAAGCCCATGTGTATTCTGCCTCTGTTTGACCTTGGCAGCGGACCCCTGTTTTTGTAATGTCAAATAAGCATCAGTAATCCCAGGCACCGCTTGACAGGCTTCAGGAGCCATTAGTTTTCTTTCGCAGCTCATAAGCTTTATCAATTGCCCTTTTGTGTAATAATTTTGCCGACAAATTCACACCAGCATCGTGTTTGGCCTTGTAAAAAAAATATACTGCCATCAAGCCGTGCTGGCATAACAACACGGATACACACTTTTTTTTTTTGTTTTGTTTTTAATCACCTCGATTGTTTTGTATTTTAGTGCAGAGGAAATGTCCCCCTTTTGCATGCTTGATCAGTCGGTAGAAAAATCCAATAAAATGGAGGTTCAAGGTGAATGGCATTCTGCGTGTTCACCCTCATCGGCGACTGAAGGGAAATTCTGAAGGTAAATCAACAAATCACACACACAAACAGCATATGGACATGAAATAAATATTGATTACGCGGTGCCGTTCACGGATGAAAATGGGCTTTTTGTCCATTTGTCGTGGGCCTTTTTCAAAATGTCTGAGAATGAGGAGACATTTAGTTCCGGAGGGGAGGAGGAGGAGGAGGAATAGAACAAGTGAGGGAGAAACACAAGAGAGATTTTACAGAGTTGAGAAAGGGACATGCTGCCCCTTCCTTAGCTCATTATCATTCCTAATAAGTCTTAAAGAAAGACGGAGCATTGAGTGTAAATGCAGAGTAATCCTTCCACTGTCCAAGGTTAGAAGGGACGTCGGCACAGACGCACCGTTCCCAGCTGGCCACTTTGGGACCAGAAGAGCACCGTTAAGGATAGATGTTCAAGGAGAAAGCGAGGGTATTTAGACACTGGGTTAAGGTTAGATGCCCTTACCTTCTCCCTCGAAATGCACCAGCTGGCATGCAGTCAGGGCTTTAAAACACCCATTTTTTGGACATATTAAGTACAGAAAGCTACCGTGTGGGATTTCGAAGCCACATTAAAGATCCGAATGGGGTCGTTTTTGTCTGAGGATTGAACATAAAGGAGCTCTATGCACTTTTGGTGTGGTCCGGCAACAAGCAGCAAGATGAATTGCAAGATCTCGTGACCAGTTAACTAATTTAACAAATTGCCACTCTTTTGCAGCAGTTGTTCAACCGTGCAGCTTTAATGGAAATCCAATGCCGTCTTTATTTATACACCCTTTTAAGATCACAGTCCAATGTTCTGTCACTCTGTGTTTTCTACCCTAAGTTTGCTAATACTGTCGTGTACACGTGTGGTAATCAACTCGGAGGTGGCACATTCATCTTAATCCACAGTTAAAAGGGGGTGATTTTTATGCTCGCGCTAATTCGAACAGTGAGTGGTTTTCCCCCTACATGTCAAGCTGTGTTTATAGACTTAGTTAAAAAAAAAAAATACCGCTACACATTTCTTCTTTAGCATTGTATCGACACTAAATTCGGTAAAGACCATGGAAATATCACAAGAACAGTTCTACTCTTTCCCATTACGCTGGTCTTAAATATCAACCTGAAGCTTTTAGTGTCGAACCCATGTATCACAAATAGACTGTTACATCACAAACTCAGACTGCCATTGACTCTTATTTGCTGGAAGGCCAGTGGATTTTTTTTTTTTAATTTGAGCTCATACTGTATGTCGCATAATATCCCTTCATAAAGACTTTGAATGATTGATATCACAGCATTCCTGACGTTATACAAGCAAAAATGCTCGATTTCTGCTATAGTGGGAAGGTCTGTTGACTGAAAAGGAAAGCCAACCACCAAATTTAGTTTACAATAATACCGTATGTTATATTCAGCCCCGCTCGTGTGACCATGGTAAGCGTACTAATATTGTGTTTGTGGAATATGAATCCACCTGTTTTTAATCTGTCTCAGAGGGCGGCCATTTTGTCATTTTGACAGAAGCCATAAGCAAATGAAACTGGAGCTAGCGTAGTTCAGTTGGAGTTGCCTTTTGTCTTCCGCAGTGCGGCGCCACCTCTGTTTCAAATAATTTTCCCCATCTCATACCAGGAAGAATGAATTCGCCTCAGACAGATGTTAACAAACCTTTGGCCACCATTTTGTTCATTTAAAAAAAAAAATTGCCCCTTCTAAAGGTTATTCCCTGCAACATTTGAGTAGCTTGTGCTCACTCTCAGGTGTGACTATGACTGATTTACTGCTTTAGCTGCACTCATGGATTTGACGACTGTCTTCATCACCGTTTTCTCTATCAGTCTGCATTTTAGTCGCTGCCTATTTTGTTGCTTTGCCGTTTCCCTATCGCCACCCTCCCACTTCACTCTCCAACCACCTCCTGGGAGCCTTGGGTGGCAGAGAGCCATCACCATGGTGATCTGAACACAGATTGCCTGCAGACTAGTCCATTGTGACCGGCGTGTGTTGAGGTGAGATGGAACAAAATGTCACAGCAACAGGTTTTGGGGTGTGTTTTTGTTTTTGCTTGATTACTCAGTGGGATTGTGCTAGGATCCAAGAGCAAACAGACTGGGAATTAGAGAAACAAGTTTTATATGTGAGTTAAGAATCTGCACAAATGCAGTAGAATACACATTGTGGCACACTTATTTTTTAGTATGGCAGAAAATCTTTGATTTGATGTTGAAAGTTAACAGGCTGCAAAAGTGCGTCGCATGCCTCCGCATCATGTCTCTCACTAGGGTAGGCAGTGATTCCCTCTTAACAAACTCATCAAGTTTTGCTTCTACTTTATTTTTCTGTTTCGTTCATTTTAGGGGCCGTTATGGCTGTTGCTCATCATGGCATGTGCGTGCAAGTGCGTGCGTATGTGCGTATTTGCGGTAAGGGTTCAATTGCGGGAGGTTGGTTGATCGAGAAGTAGATCTTAGGTCTAAAAAGTTTGGGCACCGCCGATCTTGTCTATTGGCTCTTGATAACCACACATTATTGCCTCTTGCTTTACGTTGACTTTGATCTGCCTTGATCCTCACATCGTGCCGCCGGCTACCGATGTTAGGGTAGAAAATGATTGTGTAGATAATGTGGCATTAAGGAGATGTAGCAGGTTCTGGCCTCAAACCTGAAGAGTATGTTGGCTGTTTTCAAAACAGGTACAGGGTTGTCCTCAGTCCCTGGGATTGGAAAGGAAGTTTTAACT